TAGTATTCACAGTCGTTCACACCCGACTTCAAGTATTTGCCGGGCCGTGCGAACCTGGTAGCTGATTCGCTATCTAGACATATAGCTCCTGTCACGCCACTATCTACGTTCACCCTGTCACAGTTAAGGGCGGAACAGTTACAGGATCCACTGTGGTCCAAGGTTATATATGCCTTAGAATTGGGAGATGAGGTAAAATTGTCAAAATTACCCCTACCACTCTCACAGTTTGAGCACGACATACTATATCGGTCAGTGAAAACACAACAAGAGTCAATCTATCAAATTGTTAGTCTTACATCATTAAAGGAAAATTTCTTCCACAAAGCACCCCAAGATGGGAATCTAGGGCGAGACAGATGTCTAACTGAAATTAAACAAAAAATATTATTGGAAAGCTATGAGGACCGACATCGAGCATCACATTGCTAAATGTTTATCTTGTGCAAAACACAAGGGAACAACGATGGATTCCGCTCCAATCTTAGAATACCCGACGCCGGAATGTCCATGGGATACAGTTGCAATCGATTTATTGCAACTACCAAAAAGCCACCAAGGCTCTAGTTACATACTTGTCTGCATTGACCAGTGGCTCATGCATTAATCACTCATCTTAGCTATCCTTTTTCTACACCTGGAGTGATACTCTCAGACAACGGGACAGAACTTAAGAATCAGCTCATAACTGCAATATGACATCACACAAAACTTCACAACTGCCTAACAACCATCTTCAAATGGGTTGGTCGAGCGCACAAACAATTTTTTGAGATTCTCCAACATGTGGTGAATCCAATGCATAGTTCGTGGGGGGACTGGCTTCTACAAGTTGCAGCATCCATCAACGGATTTATCAATAGCTTTACAGGCAAATCGCCATACTACATAATTTTCGGTTCCGATAAACGCTTGCCATATGATATTAGGGTGTGTCATACGGAGGCGAATTTTTTAAATCGGTCCATGGTATTAATGATGTAGTTCTATGTGCAGAATCATGTGATATCTTCAGATTTGAAAAGTTTTCATTTTTGCTAGAGTAAATTTTAACTTAGAATCTTATGAAAATTCAGTATTCCACCCGTTTACCAACACCACTTTCGTAAGCTTATTTAAGTAAAGTAAATGTATCAATTGAATTTATTAGGATGAAAATGATCCAGAATAATTAAACGAATAATCTTGACACATTTATTAAATTTTAATATTCCTTTAGAAAACAAAATCATCAAATACAAAACCGGTTTTACTATACGACCGGTGTTGCTGCACACCATAGAACATGTGCTTTCTTGCTTCTGTTTCTACTCATCACCTCCCTGCTGACCACCTGAGCTGGGATGTAGCCTTCCCTCCTCTCCCTGACTGTACAAATGACTGCTGGCCTCGCTCACTTGCTGTACACAGCGCTCTATACTCTGGGTGTGCGAGGGGCCAGGCAGTTTTATACATGGGGTTGTCAGGAAAGCTCTGGCTTGGCAGACATTGGTGTTGAGGCTGCAGGTAAGAAGAGCTCACTGCCAGCCCTGGATGTTATCAGATCTATGAGATCAGTGGTCTTGGCACCTAGATTGACTTCAGGTCTTCCTGACCCTGAAGGAATCGTCACTTAACTGATTCGTCATGCCCAGATCCTCTCTCATGAGTCTCATATCAAGATCTTTGACTGCCACTCTCCTCTCCTCTCATCCCTTTACGCAGAGCATTGTCTGCAGAACTGCCTCGGGATGAGCATACCAGAAGATCTCCTCACAGTCTGCTCCACAATCTGAAAACCTTCCTTGGCTGACTCCTCAGGAGCTCAAGCTGGAAGAGAACATGCCTCGGACCTTGGAGAATGATGAGAAGCTTGACCTTGGTGTTGTTTGAACCAATTTGGCAAGTAGACACTCACGATGAATTGGACAATAAATGCTCAGGTTGTGAAGCTGGTTCCCTTTCAGTTTATGATGGCGACTGATTCTGCAGAACCTGAGAGCTAGATTTGGTGAGCCACCTAGAATGTGAGACTGGACCTATCTGCGGGTAAGCAAGTCCTCAGGCATGACCCCAGTTTTGATGGCACTGCAAATCATGTAACCATAGTACTGGTCAGTACTCAGGTCGTCAATGACAGTATATACAAGCTCAACGAGGTGGAGGGCCAACTGTGATTTTTCAAAGCTCAGTTTATTTCTAACTCAGTGGCAGAGTCCAGCATCTTGCCAAGAGGACCAGACCATCTGTTGTTTGAAAAGTCTTGCCATCAGCTCCTGGATCAGATGTCTGATGGCAACTCGTTGGTGTGGAGGTCACAAACAATCCAGACGAGCTGCCTCCCAATCTTCCGCTCTATCCCACTGTATGACCCCCCTTGCCACCCTGTGTTCCGTATTGGTGCTGTCCCTCAATGGCCTGCAGGGTCTGGTCTACGTTCCTCTCTCTGAGCAGTTGACAATGTTATCTGCCACTATCTCCAGCTGGTTTCCTGATGTCATCTTTCTCTGGGTGAAATGCCACAAATACTTCCCTCCTGGTTCACTGCAGCAGAGGTAGTGTTCCTCCTTCACCATGGCAGGAACAACTTGTCCCAGAATCTCCAACTTTCGCAGACACTTTGAGTGTCATCCCTTCTCCCATCCAGAGAACAAACAGTGATTCCATTTTCTCTTATCCTTATCAAGCTCCTCTTCTAGGTTACTGACAAGTTTCTCCTGAGCTCTCCTTGCTTTGTTATGATCTATCACCAGGTGTGAACATCATCAGGTGTTATCAAACCACCAAATCAATCAGGCAGCTGTTGCTATCACTGCACTTTCTCTGAGACCAGTGTGGTGTCGTATGCTGGCTAGAGCTATGCTCGGGATATCTTTCCTATTTCGATCTTATGCCTGGAAGGTTTGGGATCATTATTTTCTGGGTTGAGGACAAAGTCACCATTCTCCTGGTCAGCACTCGGATCAGCCATGGGGGAGATCATTAAACTCTGAATCAGCTTGACTCAATCATCGGCCTTTTTTACCTCACCCTGGGCCTTCTCAAGTCTCTTTTCCTCGTCTTTCTTCTCCTCTTCTGTCTCTCTGTGGCAGCCTCTGTCTCTTGGACTCCACAATATCTTGGCTAGAAATCATGAGAGCCCCAATACTACTGATCTTCTCTCTCTGTGCTTTGATAAATGCCAGTTCGATCACAGAGATCTTCAGTTCACGCTTGCAAAATACAGAGATGTGGGCCTCGGATTTACAGTCACGTCATCAAACTCAGGACAAAGAAGAGAGAACAATTTGACTTACGAAGTAATTATGTCAAATAACTGGGTCCAGTTGCTTATGCATTTGTCATAACTGCAGGATTTTCCTCTCCCCAGAGATATCTCTTGCCTTTTCCCAACTGGCTAGCAGTCTCTCACTAATCTTCTTCTGACTTGTTATGACTGGAGGTTTGAACTGAGCGTTAGCCAGAGTGTACTGTGCCAAGACAACTTTGGTCCTTATCACTGGCAATGTCTTTGTTTGTGTAAGTTCTTTGGTTCTTTTCACTGATTTGCCTGATTAAAACTTACCGTATCTCAAAGCATCTCTCTCAATGTAGGCAGCCGACTTCAGGAGCTCTCTCCCAGACCCAAGATAGTGACTGAGATGGCTGGTTTTGGTTCCTCGTCCTGACACAAGCAGCCCATCACGCAAATATTATCAACTTATAAATGCATCCAGAATCTGAAACAGAAAAAATATTGTTAGTTGGGTTGTTAAAGAATGAAGTCAAGCTTAATGTTCTATTTAGTGTAATGCACTAATGCAGCTGTACGTTAGATTTTCGATAAATTTCACTAAAATTTACCACAAAAGGTTGCAAAATATTGAAACTGAAATTATTTTCTGTTTATATACACTAAAATCTACCAAAAAAGTGATGGGCCATTAGTTTTAGCTGATCTTCCCTCCTATGACACACCCTAATGCCCTAGACCCATTTATTGCTCCGCTGACACAATAACGGGGCAGCTCCTGTCTTCCAAATAGAATCCGACCTTGTAGCTGGGGTGATGACTGTCGGTAGACTTGAAGGCGCGGGGATTCCTGGGACAGCGAGAACGGATGTGCCCTTCTTCTCCGCAGTTGTGACACCACACGGCCTGTGAACTACTCCTCTCTACTCCTGGGGATGGTTTTGAGGATAAACAACGTTCCAGATTGACATCTCTTTACTATAAAAAATAACACAAAACTTTGACACCACTCACACAAACATCAAATAACAATTACGGGAATCAAACAATTATGAGAATCAACAATTAATACAGTCAAACAGTTAAGGGGATCAAGCAATGAACGGAATCACAAATAATGGAATCAAATAATTAAGAGAATCAAACAATTACGAGAGTCAAACAATTATGGAGTCAAA